TAAGGCCATAGGGGTTCGAAGCATAGGATTCCGTGGGGTTCCAAGAGGGTTCTGTCTATGGTGGTTGGATTTTAGGGCTTGGTTTAGGCCGTATCTTGGGGGGAATGGGTTTTGTGGAGAGAGTAAGCTTGTCCAGATACGCGTGAACTAGTCTCGATGGTGGGGTTGGGGGGCCTCCGGCTTAAACCTGCCGCCGACCCTAAACCTGGACATGGAATCCCATAGAATACACCCAGAGGGTCCATATATACTAGCATTATGGAATTAGGTCCCAAAAGACTATCCTTATTGTGGTTTTGGGGATCGAATTCCATCACAGTAGTGTATATGGACCCTCCTGGAAACAAGTACTGATTCAAGCAGTACACACAGGGGCATGCGAAACTCAAATTCTGCTTTTGAACACGCAGGCAAGAAGCCCGAACCATTCAGTTCGTCGCAGGCTGCCGTAGTCCACTGCCTGCAGAATCCACGTACCTGTCTGCACCTGCTTTAGCTAGCCACATTGTCCAAAGTTTTTTCGTTCATGCATTCATGCAGCATACCGGAAGCCATACAAAGGAACAGTTGTTGTTTCACGGATTCGTCTTGATTTAAGCAGCATTAGCATCTCTAGATACCCTATCCCTGGGGCTCCAAGTAGACTCTCGACCCCCCAAATAGGTACTATTGGTATACTCGCAGCCCTAGGGTATGGGAAGCTGATGAAGCCCAGTCATCGTGCATGAAGATGCTCTGACCCTGTTGGTTTTTTTTGCAGTCTCACAGAGGCAGAAGCTGTGATTCAGCCTTCATTGCAGCAAAGTATAGGTTAGAGTCCGTTTTACGCCACTTTGGTTTTTTCGTGCATACTCTGACCATCGAAGTTGCTTTGTGTGTTTGCCGATCTCGCGGCAATGTGTACCCTTGCCTTGGTTCACTTAGTGCACTGCGTCATCATGTTGCTCTAGCTTGGGCACCATTCCGGTGTCGTACAAGTTAGCACACTACTACAACAAAGCTATGCCTTTGCGTTCAAGGCACTGGTTGCATGTTACTCTCTTCACGCACCCTCAAAGTCTACAGCCCGATGACTGCTTAAACGGAAATGGGGGCTGGGACGCCCTAAACCTGTAGACCTCAAATCCCGACACCGTAAACCCCTAAGCCCCTACACCCTAACGGACGGTTGCATCCACCTGACCTTCCAAGGAGCAACCACCAAAAGGCGGCTCCCGGAGACTGCTTTCGGTATAATTGCGTTGTCTCGAGGTTTTGCAATCGTGGTTCGGGATCTTCCCCTAATCCACACCGTGAATCTGGTTCAATAGTACCTTTGTACTACCTCCTCGTACCCCTGTAGTATGCTAAAACCACCTGAACCAAGCGTGCAGGGTGTTTTTGTTGTTGGGTGCCTTCCTGTGCGGATGTTCGCGTTTTCCCTGCAGCATGGTTTCGACAGTATCGATGGGGCTGCGGATCTTGAACTTGCGTGAATGCTTCGGGGTCAGATTCCCCGGGAAATTTAGTAGTAGAAATAAACATGGCTCGTCTGCTTGATTTGGGTCCTTCTCAGTGCCACGGGCTTCTTGGTAGTTGCCCTGACACCCAAGGTGGCGCCCGAACCCCAACTCCTTCCGCTACTCTTTCTCTTGCCCTAAGTGGAACCAACTTGCCCCGTCCCTTCATTCAGTACTAGCAATGCCTTGTGAAGCTTTAAAACTTCTACAAGATGTTTTCAGAACGCCTGCAAAAAACCGTATCAGACTCTACCAAGCTTTAGGCACGATGCTTCTTCGCAGGTGGCAAGAAAGGAGGGAAGAAAAGCGGGGCCAAGGCAGTCGGTGCACGCGGCGGCGGTACCCTATGCCCCCCGCACCACCACACCCAAAGTTCGCTTCGATTTCGGCTTGTGTTTTGTTGCTGTTTTAGGTTGTGGTCTGTAAGTTTTAACTTTGCTTATAGGTTTTGAAGGTCTGGTGAAGGGTTTAGGCCTTTTTATAATTATAAGTGTTGAGGGTTCCGGGGTGTGGGGCAGGGGAGGTTTGAGCTATAGGGGAGGTTTGGGCTTTAACTAGGCCGCTCTTCGAGTTTGTTTGTGTAATGAATTCGGAACAAGAGTCAGAATCCAACGAATATCTGTATTTAGGATTGCACAATCATTCTTGTAAACCTTGGGGGACGTGCAACAAAGCAGGATTACCTCCCTAAACCCTAAACTCCTAAACCTTCAATCCTAAACCACCTGCTTGAGCACAAGCCCCACACAGAGCAGCCTCCTGACCAAACCACCTGGAAGCCCTGAACCGCTCTGGGACTTCAGACCCGTAGGTCTCTAGGATCCTAAAAAAGGTTTGAGGCTTAGGGCTTTATAGGTTTAGGGTTTGAGGTTTAGGGTTTAAGGTTTATAGGGTTTAGCTGCACACCAAAACCCTAAACAACCTGAAACCCTAAACACCCGAAAGCCTGTACGCCCCAAAAGGCATGCCTGTCGCCCAAAATCTTACCGCTTTAAGTAGGTATATACGGAAACTCTGATGAGGGATTCTAAGAGGCAGGTTCTTTGGGCCACAGGTATAGTTTCTGAAAGGTCTTAAGCTCCTCAATTCCTTGCATTTGAAATTTAGGGTTCCTTCACACAGACCCTTAAGGCTTGAGGGTTTAGGGTTGAGGGTGTGTTAACCTTTCGGGTTTGGGTGTTGGGGGTTTAGGGTTCAAGGTTTAGGGTTGAGGGTTCAGGGTGTGGGTTTTCAGGGTTTGGCTTGTGGGATTCTGGAATTGAGATTTGGGTGTATATAGCTTTTGCTTCAGGCGGCCGCAGTGTTTGGTCAGGGCTAGGGGTGCAGGATTTAGGCTTTAGCGCTTCCACTACAGCCTTCCACAAAAGCCGTTGCGAAGCCCGGAGCCCAACTTGGAGATAATTACCCCTACCCCAACACCCTAAACTCCTACTCCCGACTTTGAACCCGAAGCCCGAAACCGTAAACCCTCATTCGTAACATTTCCTGCCGCCAGGAAGGCACAAGTGGCAACATCGTTGTCATAGCCCCCCGGCTCGATTTGGGCTACAGGCATCCAAAGTAAAGGGTAATCTCGAAGTCTCCGGGCTCTGAAAGATGAGGATCGAGCATAGTGCTTGAACTGAGCATTTGCGAGTGATGCGGAATAGATTCTTATGTAGGTGGGGCACATCGGATTCTGCAAATCTACACAGGGATAATAGTCTAGCTCTGCGGTTCCCAATCGAGGAGCCATGTTTCGTCATGTTGGGCTTATAGGTAGCACAGCCGACCATGGCTTATACAGGTAGTTCTCTAAAACCCTAAACCCTAAAACCCTAAACCCTAAACGTTAAACCCGGAAACCCTAAACTGTAAACCGTTGAGACCTGGAGCTTTTGGAGACCTTGGAGACCTTGAGGGGCTGGCGCTCAGTTTTCAAGGCAGAGGCCTAAATTTGAGCAGCGATGCCAGGATGCATCGTACAGTCCTAAACCCTAAACCCTAAGCTCTCAAGAAAGAAATATACAGAAATTGATTGTTTTTGTTGGCCATCCGGGAGCCCAGTTTGTTTCCGGTCGGGGCACACCTTTCCAACTTCTATATAAACCAATTTCCGTTTCAGGGCTAAGCAAGTCAGCCCAGCCCAGCCCCCAGCCAACAGGTTTTTGGGAAGACTCTGTCATCTTCATTAACAATTATGAGTACATAAGTATCTGTTTCACATTTAGTTGGGGCATCTTCGTTCTCCAAACCCGGTAACGAGTGCACATGGCTGAAAGTGGGCTTCCTGCGCATAGTGTGCGTGGACGGATCCGAACTTCGTAGCCGCACCCTGGTTTAGTGTCTAGGGTTTGGGCAAAGGCCCGACATGAGGTGCAAGTGTCAGTGGCCGTTATGTGTGCGTTCCACCGTGTTTCATTTAAAGGGCTTGTAGGGAGGAGTGGAAGCAGATTTAAGATGCTTCACCACAACCCGTAGATGCCAAGTTTCAGGTACGACCCGTCCTCCCCCCTACGTCATAAATCCCATTTCAGCCGGCTGACGCTGCTGACCCTAAGGACAACCGTGGCGGAAAGATACAAGAGAGCCGGGAAGCCCGGATCACTCGCGATGGGAACCTGAGGTTATCAAACGGTTTCACAACTTTCCTAGCCAATGCGAGAGCTTCGAACTTGTATCTTGTTTGGGCCCGGCTATTGAGGAAGAAACATTTCTGTAGAGGTTCTAGAGGGGCTTTAGGGTTTAGAGCATAGACCTAAACTACGGCCGGGTGTTGAAACTGGTCCATCTTGATGTTCATAGTGCAAGCGTTGTACATGTTTAAAGGGGCCTCTAAGTAAAGCTCAGAGAATGCTCAGTTTGAACCTGCAACCCGACACCGACGCTCGAAATTATTTCTTCTAAACCTTCAGCTAGCAACCTTTCATTGCTTTGTCGAGCCTTTTCCATACTACAGGGGGTCGGAATAATGGACCAGGGTATCCCTCATGTCCCTGTACTTCCCGTCTAGTATACCCCAAAACTCTAAACCGTAAGCTGTAAGCCCTAAGCCCTAATTACTCTAATCGGTAAGGCCCTGATATTGCCCTGAACCCCGAAACAACACTCGGTTCAGCTTGGAGGATCGAGGGTTTGGGGTTTAAAGGTTTAGGGTCCAGGGTTTCGGTGACTTGACAAAACAACGGCCAAAAATGCTCCGACATCCATGGTTCCCCGACCATCTCTGCATTGAGAAATAGCTCCAAGCCCTGCGTGAACAGGTTGGGGGAGTTTCCCATAGAGCCCAGAATCCCATAAACAGAGAACATCACGGAGGCTGTGTGATTCTCAACCAGGGCTTATTGCGCTCTTTGTTTCAAAAACCATTGGAAGTGTGGACAGTGCAGACAGCCTATCCGTACTAAGTCCCTGGTGTCCTCCTGGGAGCCTTGGGCTCTAAGAACCTATTTCTGGATCCTGAATCCCGGAACTCTGCACCCTAGGTAACACCCTAGAAGTCGAGAGCAAAAAAATGCGAAGGCTACGACGTGGACAAGAAGAAGATCGGTGAAGGGTCCTACGGAACTGTCTGCGTCTGCGTCAACAAGGCCGAGAGCATATAGAGGTCTGAATAGCGAACATTTACACCAAAAATCATCTCCGATCAGTCGGATTGCTCAATTTGTGCTGCACCGAGCCTACCTTTGGCTTCAAATCCCTACTGGTTTGAGCGTTATTCCGTGTACTGAAGGGGTCAGAGCCGACTTGTTTCTGGGTCTTGGGGCAGCATGTGACTCAGACCCTAGGCAAGCCCTAAGACCCAACCCCATAGACCCAAACCCTGAAACGGATGTGGGCGCCACTGCATCCACGACCTCTCTCGTCGAAGCCATGGGGCCTGAACCCGAACTCCCTATTGTGAGGGCCCGAATGATTGCATCAGGGTTAAGGGGGGTCGGTGTAAATATGAAGTGATATTGGGCCCGAAATAATTACCAATACCATTCTTAGGGTTCCTGATTATAGTTAATAATATTCCCCCAAAAACCTATTCTAGTTATTAAGGCCCCTATACTCCTACACATCTACCCTCAATCCGAAAGCCCAAAGCGGCCCTCAGCCCCAGAACTAGGCCCCGTATCGTAAGTACCCCTTATAGCATCCGTTGTAACCCTTATTGCAGTAAGCCTACTTGTGCCACCTCTTTGGTCCTCGAACTCCTACGCCCTAAACACCCAGCGGCACAGACATGAATATCCTGAAAACCCTAAACCCTAAACCCCAAACCCTAAATCCATCCCTTGGGTAGTACCCCAATCCTGCAGGACGACTCCTAACACCTTTATAGCATAGGCAGGCCCCAAAACCTCTAGTCGAACTATTCAGGAATTGTTTTTTTTGACCTCAAGCCCTGTTAGCGGGGTATTGGGCCTTAGGCATTTCTGGGCTTAAGGGCTCCGAGGGATCTTCGAAGACATAGCGTTTATGAAACGGTTGGCACTACGCAGTTCTCCGGCTCGACGTATGCCATTGGGAGTCCTTCGTCGTTGCTCAGGGGTCATTGGTATTTGGAAACTGGGACGGGAGTCAAGGGCAAGCCATAGGCCTTAAACTGTTGAGGGTGCAGAAGCCGAGCGGATGTTTCAAGTTGCGATATCCCCTGGAATCCTTTCACTAAGGTTGCTGTAGACTTTCGGGGTGTTACAGGGGCTTACAGGGTGGATAGGTGTTGGGGTATCTAGTTCTCTAGTATCCAAGCTTTAAACTTGCGGGTTCTTGTAACTCAGGGCTGTTCTGCAGGCGTAACCTTCCGTTCCTGGGGGGTTTGTAGGGGAGGGGGTAGACGCATGTGCCTTGTTGGATTTCTCGGTGGGTGCTGCACGTGAGTTCACTGGGGCGATCGAAGCAGTTGGTGGCACCAGGCAACAGCCGAGGCTATCCCTAAACCCTGTCGTGGAACATGGATTTAGGATGATTAGTGCTGGGATTCCCTTTGCTTCACCTTAAGGGCATGAGGCGAATGATGTTCCAACTTTCTGGCTTCTTCTGTAAATCCCTAAACCCGAACACGCTATGGCTGTGCGGGCTTAGCAGTCCGTTGGAAGAGAGACGGTAGCTCCGTAAAAAAGATTTCTTCTCGTCAGGTAGGATGGCTCCGTACACACAGAGCCGTTACCCACCTTCCCAAAGGGCGTAAGATTTGTTTGTGATTCCTATCTCAATATCAGGGAGAGGGGATGATTAACCGGGCGTCTACATGATGACAGCAGTCGTAAGAGAATCTGAGGTCCAAAGATCCTAAACCCCGAGACCCGGGAGGCCAAAAAGCCCGAAAGACAGCGGGCTGCCTGGTCCCATCCGCCCTTATCCGGAAGCCTTAAAACTTGTAAGGGTCTGAGGCCGTTGACCCCAACCTACGTCTTACAAAGTTAACATCCGTCTTGCCGGAGGCGACGAAGCAGAAACGGCCGGCTGCTAAGATTACTGACAGCTGAGCAGTCATTCAGATTTCCTGGTAATTTTAGTAGTCCTGTGCGCTTTGTGTTTTGTATGGTTTGGAATTGTGATTCCCCCGGAGTTGCTTGACATCTAATCCCAAGATCCTACAGCCTCGCAACTCCAATATTCCGAAGCACCAGTCAGCTGCTAACCCCATCCAATACCCCGAAAGCATGTAATTGGAGGATCACGGGACTTAGTAAGTAGGGTTATAAGTACCTCAAGTAGGGTTATAGTAACTAGAGATAACTATACTTACTTACTGATCCTTCGAGTAATCTCAATACCATACATCCGCCCTCTTGAGGAATGCACAAAGTCTCTATTTGCAAGCTGCAGCCTCGATCCAAGTTGCCTAAGTCTGTCAACAAGGAGGTGTGACAACCTGGAGCAAGTGACAAAAGGAGGAAGACAAAAAGAGACCCTGGCCCTAAACGGCATAACTGGTTTGACCTCCGTAAACTGGGGGTATGATGTCCCCTGAGGAAGTGCAATGAGGCTACTTGTGCCCCGCAGTGATTGTATGCGTGATCCGAAGGATCGGTAGAAGGAGGCTTGTTCAAGGCAGAAGAACCCATAGAGAGACTTTCCAAAAGGTTGAGGCCACAAATCAAAATCCTGAACCCTACCTGTGGATTCAATAACCGACGGTTTGAAGGGTAAGACCGTCAGCTAGACGCCATAAGCAGGTCATACTCTGCTAGTTTGTAGGAGTTGGGACGATAGGCAAAGCCCTGACTCTTTCGACCCTAAACCCCAGATGCCATGCAGCCGTAAACACTTGGCTAAGGGCGGTGAAAGCTCTTAGCAAGACACAGATGAAGAACATCGAGTAACTTGGCTGTGAATGGAGTTCTCATTAGGTAGGCTGCTTTTTAGTTATCCAAACCTGGCTATACAGGATACAGTAGTGAGTAATTTAGGACGGCTTCAAGCTTAAATGGCATACCTAGTACATGAAGTCGTGGCATAGCGAATGGTGCTCCTGCATGTTACGTTGCTTGGCATCGTTGAGTCTGCCTATTGGCAGTTTGCTCCGCGCATCCCAAACACTGAACCCTACAGTACTCCACATGCAAAATGAAAGCGATGCCGTAAACTCTAAACATGGAGCCGAGAGGCATGCCAGCATGAACTAATACTGATGTTTCGAGCATACGGCCGATGCTGTCAGACTAATGGACAATTGGGATAAGTAATTTATCAACTGCTGCAGAAGTATTTTTTGGAACACGGGTTGAGGTTTGAGGCTTTCGGGATTGGGATCCTGGGATCTAGGTTTCTTGGCTTTGAGGTTCCGAGTCGGACGTATGGTTTCAGGCGTTGGAAGATGCGTTGCGTGCTACTGACGGTAATGCACAGCCCATCCATCTGCTTGACGGCCTAAATTAAATTGCTAAACCCTCAAGCCTTATGTCCTAAACCCTTAAGCCAACAAAAGCACCACAAGCAGCGCTTTTCCAGCACACTCCCGTCCCCGCAACGGCGTTAGCTCTTCAGGATGTTTAGGGCTTCGGCTTCGGGCGTATAGGGTGATTTAGGTTCAGGGCTGTAGGGTGTTGGGGGTTTACGACGGGTTTACCACTGTAGCTTTCTGTGCGATTGCGCGAGGCCGCACCCAGCATTCCAGTGGTCCGAAAAAAAGGAAAGGGGGGGCCCGAATATGGCTTCCATTATCTGTTATCCCTTGTGGTCACTCAGTATTCGTTCGGCGACGCCTGACCAAAGTTTTCGATCCAGAATGAAGACAAATCAGAGTTCCTTCTGGCAGCTTGGGTGCATCGTTCTTTTGGTGGGGACCCTAGACCCTAAATCCTAAAGCAGCATGCTGTATCGAGGCGTGCGTGCGATTTGTGAGAATTCTTGATTTGGATCTTTCGTTCGGGGTCCTAGGGGTCTTAATAAGAAGTAATCATTGAAGTAGGGTTCATTCAAAGGGGCGCTTGAGAGTCGGAATCGGAATATCTTCAAAGTCATGCCGTTGACATTTAGCGTGTCTGGTTCAGGTAGAGCCCACACCTATCCCTATATAATGGAACTCTAACTGGCCCCATCGCCGAATCGCTGACCCTTTGCACCCTGCGCGCGACATCAGCCTTCAAAGCATGAACCCGACGCTTACAGTTCTTTATCGTGCAGAGGTTAATGCTGGGCCCCATCCTATCCCGCTAAGCCGCGGCCATCCCCAAGGAAGTTCAAGGAAGAGATCCGGATCATGACGATCATGGACCGGTTTTTCATGAGGTTTGGGGTCAAGGGTGTAGGACAGGCCCGTAAGTCTCTTTGTTCTTTTTGCCCGTTGAGTTGTCAAGTGCATAGTCTATCAGGGCTAGGAGAGTGAATCTTCGGTGCTTCAGATAAGTACTCTAATATTTGGGGATCTATAGTGGAGTCCGTTGTTATCCCTAAGGGTCTGAAGACTTTTGGGAGCCTCAAGATGTAGGGGTTCTGCAACCCCAGGGAGACTCAAGGGCTCCCCCCTAGGAGATTTCGGGCCCTCCTCAGGAGATACCTGGACCGTTAGTCACAGAGACCCTTCGGGTGGTAGAGGTGTAAGGGGGGGGGGGGTAGGCGACTATACTTCCTTCAATACACCTTCGTAGGTTTTTCATTACGAGGCTTAAGGACCCCGGTATACCCCCCTCCCCCCTACCCCTTAAGAAGGGTCCTGATGACTTAGGGATTACCAGAAACTCACAGCTTTGGTCCGGTCGGGGTTTAGAGGCTTAGGCTTTGGTTTCATGACAGGCCTTTAAACCATATGGGTGGTTCTCTAAACTAGAGACCCCTTTACAAGGGTCCAGGAGCCTTGGAATAAGGGCATGTGCAGCAGAGGGGTTGTTGCTTCCATTGTTTTGAGGTGTTTAGGGTTTGGGTTAGGGCCCTGTTCCCTGCGACCCGGAGGCCTAAAAATCCTAAGGCATTAGAGTTTCGGAGAGGAGGTGTTGGGGAGGCCGAAAAAAGCACAGGAGCAGAATCGCTGCGATCGTCAACTCTGTTAGGGCTCATATCATGTGCCTGGACCCAGACCCTGAATTGCAGCCTTTTTTGGTTACCTGATTGTTATAATTATAGGATCCTAACCACAGAAGTGTTTGCTCAAACAAGTAGCCGGAATTCAGGGTGTAGGTGGGCTTGATATGCGTGTTGAAAGGTAAGTGTCCTACATTGTAGTCAGCCGAAACCCTACAACGCATGGAGTCGGCGATATACACTGCTACCCTTTAGTGCTCCCAGGAATTTAAGTTTACGGTTTAGGTTTCGGACCTCAGAAGAAGATGCACAGCTTGTCAAAAGCATGCTTCGGATCAACCGAAGGACCAACCTTCTCAACCCGAAGCCCAGAGCCCGAAGTCCCTAACCCCGAAGCCCCAAACCTAGAAACCCAGGATATCATGAGGCCTAGAAGCTGTCTGCCTTCCAGGACCACCCGAACATCATCAAGCTCTACGAAACGTTCGAGGCATCGTGTTGTTTTTGCTTCATTTTTGAGGGTTTGTTGAGGTTGGCCGAGCTTTACATTAGTTTAGTTGCATTTGTGGTTTGGCTTGATGAATCTCCACCTTGGTGTTGACCGGCTTGGAGGCGGTCTCGCTTACCTAAACCCTAAACACCTAAACCCTAAACCCCTAAACCCTAAACTGTGCGCCCAACATCATCACCAAAGCACCGAACCCCCAAATTCGATGAGCCCTGGGAGGCTCCTGAGACCCTAAGCCCTAAGCCCCTCGCCGTAAGGGTTTAGGGTTTTAGGGTTTAGGGATTTGGGGGTTTTAGGGTTCAGGGTTTAGGGTTTTAGGGTTTAGGGCTTGGGGCTCAATCTAGGGGCCTAGATAATTACCAATACTATTTTTCGGGTTCCTTATTTTAGTTATAGCATAATATGCCCCAAAACCCTAGTCCTCAGACATCTGTGCGCATGTACCCCAAAACCCTATTCTAATTATTAAGGCCCCTACATCAGGGTAATTGTTTGTGGTTGTTGGTACTTTCGGTTTTTGGGATGTGGGTTTCTATCGAACCAGAGGTCGATTCCTCCGTGCCCTTCTGGCGAGTAGCCCATGGTTCCTTTCAGAACAAGCTTGAATCGTAGTAATGGGTTTAGGACTTAGGGGTTTAGGGGTTGGGGTAGTAAGTCGTGATACTGATGTAGTGGCTGAAGTTTCTACCAGTGTTTTAGAAGATACCTCCAAAGAATCATTGTAAGTATGGAGGCCTCCATAATAGTACAAAAAAGAGCTCAGGGTGTTGGGCTTGCAGCGATTGTCGGGCCCTTGCGGATGTACTTTGGAGGGCTTCAGCTTCCCTTGGTTCTACCTGCAGAAACTTGAACTGGGTTTCGGGCTTTGGGTTTAGGGTCTCTGGGTGTCGGGGTTTAGGGTGTGGGTTTGGGGTGCTTCTAGTCCTTACTTGGGCTGTCCTAAGGCATGGCGGAAGAGAGCAAGTACAGCATTTTAAAAGCAGGGAATAGGCCTGACGTCATAGTAACAACCCCATTCTAGCTTAAGGCTAAACTCAGGCACATGAGTTGTTTGATTGAATATATATTGGGCTCTTGGGGCATTGCATTCCGAGAGCTCTTGCAGGACAAGGTCAAAGTCTACCTCGTGATGGAGCTCTGCACCGGCGGGGAGCTCTTCGACCGTATCATTGAGCTGGGCCACTTTACGGAGGCCTCGGCGTATGTGTTCCTTCGGTTTAAGTAGGTTTTCGCGGTATTCTCTAGAGCATTCGGGGCTTGAGGTTTAATTATAGGTTATTGTAGGACATACGGCATACAGTGGTTCATTCGATTTGAAGTTCTCAGGGTGAAAGGTCAGGGTGTAGCGGTCTTGATCTTTAGATGTTTTTTTCCATATTCAGGGATATTAGCCTCGTGGCCTTATGCCCTGAGCAACTAGGAACTAGAGTCACTGGCAGCGAGGGTTTGCCACGTAAGTCTGATGGGTTTCGTCCTTCAAGCGCAAGCCAACCCTGCTCCCATGTGCAACCTTCTATGTGCCATACAACAGAGATCCGAAAACCATCGAAACCCTAAACCCTTAAGCACTAAAAACCCCAAACCCAAAACCCTCAGTCCTTGCATGTTGTTGCGCGCGACCAGGTTCAGGCAGCATTAGTCATGCAGCAGATGCTTCGCCACTAGAATGCAGAGTTTAGAGTTTAGGGCAATGCAGAAACTGTTTTGGGGTAGGGTGTTTTGGGGCTTTTGGGGTTGCGGCTTTTCGGGACCTGAAGAGAGTTTATGTTTTGAGAGCTTCGCGGCCAGGGTTTAGGGTTTGCCAGGGTTTTGGGGCATTGGGTGTTAGGGCTTCATGGTTTGGGGTCTTGGGGCGTTGTAGGGCTTTCAGGTCTGTACCCATAGGCTCCTAAGTAGTTCCTTTTCGTGGTTTATATTTAGAATCCTATAACCTATAAGGCAACCCCAAAAAGAAACTACTGAGGTGCCTATGGGTGGGGTGTGCGGGTTGCGCGGTTTAGGGTTTCAGGGTGTTCTGGGTTCTGGGCCTGTGGGCTTCGAGGATTGGGGGGTTTGAGGGGCTTAGGGCTTGCCTTAAGCCTCTTAACCTACCAGAACCTACTTTTTTGTAGGATCCCCGTGAATTCCAGATTGGGGCTTGGAATAAGAACCCACAAAAAAGTAGGTTTTGGTATTGTTTAGGGCGGTTTAGGGTTTAGGGGTCTGAGGTTTCAGGGTGTAGGGTCGTCTGACTTTAGCATGTCTTTGGGGGTTAGGCAATTTGCGGGTGTCGATTTGGGATGGCGGGTTTCAGTCATGTGGGGATTATGGCTTCTGAAGATCTACTGATATCGAAGGTCGAAGGGATGAGATAATGTGGTATCCCCTGCATTTCTCTGCGCGCCTAGTGACACGACATAGGTGTCTCAGACGGATAGAGATTGCAAGTTCAGAGTAGCCCCCCCGCACGGGGTGCAGAAGTTGGGCCGTGCAGTCCTTATACTTGTGAGTAGTAAGTAGTATAGGGCAAAGCCGCCACTCCAGTCGAAGATGCCTCCAAGTCTAGTGTGCTTGCCAGAGGTATCTTGACTTTGGAGACCAAGCCCACAACACGAAACCCTCAACCACGATGCCCGCATGTTCTGGCGAGGGCCGGGCTAAACTCCAAACCTAAACCCGTGAACCCTGTAAGCCCCTAAAACCTAACCCCTGAACCCTAGATCCTAAATCCTTAAAATTAAAATTGGGCTTTAGGAGGGCACGGTGACTATGGGGTTGAGCTCCGGATTGAAGCACCCGAGGTGCTGTGTATTACATGCACAAGAACAGCTTCTGCCACAGAGTCCAGCCGGCCAGTCTTGATGGTACACAACACTGTATTGAATGTGTAGCGACAGAGGCTTCGGTAGTTGTAACTTCATTCCGGTTTAGGGTTTAGGGTTAAGGGAGGTGCCTGGCTTTCCATCGTCACCAAGGAAGGAAATGATGCAGGATTAGACAAAGGGACCCCTAAACCAAAACCATCTAAAGTTCTAAAGCCTGAGAGAGAGGGATCGTTCACCGAATTGTTGCTTCCCTCCCCCCCCCTTAACCCTAAACCCCTAAACCCCTAAGCCCTAACCCGTAAACCCCTAAACCCTAAACCCTAAACCCCTAAACCCCAAAGTCCTGACTATGAGACCCCAAGCCTACACCCACCATGACCTTGGAGCCTCAAGCCTATGTCCTTTTTTGAACAGGCGACAGAAGTCA